CGGTCCTCCGTCCCCCTGTCTTTCCGCTCGGCGGGTAGCATGTGAAAGGCGATGGAAATGGCTTCTCGCCGCTTGTGCTGGTTGGCTTGCGCAGGAGAAGGCATGGGGCTGGCTGGCTGGATGGATGGATGGATGGATGGATGGAGTATATACATGGGGATGCTGGCAGGCAGGCCGGGATCCTGCTTTTGGTGGCCGGTGTGCGGCTGGCGCGTCAAGCGCGCGTCGCAGGATATGGCGGCCGGACGCGGAAGGGCAAGATTGCATCAGATCCGGCGGCTCGGACCGGTGGCCCATTGGCGAGTGCTGCCGGAGCCGGTGGGTGGGGATGGAGGGGCGCCGTCGGCGCTCTGCACGGTGGGAGGACGGTCGTCGGCGCCGAAGATGTCGCGGCTGGGGCGAGGAGGGTGCAGCGCGTGTGCGTGTGCATGTGCGGTTAGCGGGGGCCGGGGGGAGGGGGGGATCGGAGCTGCGCCGCGCTGCGCCGCGCTGTGTGAAGGGGCGCGAAACGGAAGGACGCACAAAATGCCCGGGGTCTGGAAGATGGGTGGGCGCCCGGAGGAGGTCGGCCACTCGAAGGTGGTGAAGTAGTATGCATGGCCGGCCACAATGCCGATGAACGAGGACAGTGGCGACACACCGGTCAGGATGTCAAAGGCGATGAAGGCCCACGGAAGCAGGGCAGCCTGGGGGGGGGGGGGGGGTGGGAGGGGGAAGACAGGGGAGGGGGAGGCAGGGGAGCATGGATATGGCTGGTGTCAGATCCGGGCGCGGGACGTGGCACACTGCACTCAATGGGCTCCGCTCGTACCTTGAAGTTGATGCCGAAGAAGAAGGTGACGATGACGTCGCGGTTGAGCTGAGACCAAATGTAGATGATGGCCTGCGTGAGGGAGGACCCGGTGATGCGGAGGTTGAAGAAGAAAGAAACGGCCTGTGGGGGTGGGGAAGGGCGTCAGCATGGGAGCCGGCAGGGGGAAAGGCCGGGCCAGGAGGAAATGGGAGAAGCGTCGCGAAAGGGGGCCCGGGGAAAGGACGCACAGAGATGACCGCCAGGAGCATGGTGATGGCGAAGACATAGTCGGCCCGGCGCCCGGCGAAGTTGGTCTCCTCCAGCCGGCGCCCATACGAGTAGAGCATGAACAGATGGCTGAGCAAGGCGAAGGAAGGGCCGCCATAGAAGAGGGCCGCGGTGATGAAGCGCCAGATCTGTGGCCCGGCCGGAGCGGGGCGGCGAGGCGGGGGCGGGGGGAGATGCAAGTCAGAACGGGCGAATGGTGCTGCCATTGGGGGAGGCGGCGCGGAGCCGGGCAACCGGGGCCGAGGGCAGGCGGCGGCGCACCTCGAGTTTCATGATGGCGCCAGACTCGAGCAGGAAGAGCGACAGCACGCGCCGGGGGAGGACCATCGGAGCGAGGGCGCTCAGAAGGAGTGTCCCGAAGAAGAAAAAGCGCGTCACCGGCGGAATGGACGTCGCCCACTCGACAATTTCATTCCTCATGATGGGGCAAAGGTAGGGCGGAACAGGGGAAGCAGCAGGGGGCGCAGAGCGAAGGGAAGGGCGCAGAAAGAGGGGGCAAAGGCGCGGCAGGGGTCGGGGACGAGGGGGCATGGGTCACGGACCGGGGACCGGCCCGGCCCGCAGGCTCTTGGGGCGCAGGGCCGGCCGTGTGGCCATTGTCCCCGGGAGGAGGCCTGCGGTGTTGCGCCCCGCCTGCTTCCCCGCCCGCTTTCTCCGTTCCCGGGCGGAGGGAAATTTCGAGAGATCCCCCTCCCCCGGGGGCCCCCGCAACCGGCGGCAGAAGGCCATGGAGAAAAATTAAGATGCCCTGCCTGCGGGGAATGGAATCGCTCGGTCCCAGCGGCCTTTGCCTGTTGCGCGCGGGGGCCGAAGGCGCGGGCATGTTTCAACGGGCATCGTCCGGCCGGGCAAGACACATGTGTCGGGAATGGGCAGGCGGATCCTGACGGGGCCGCACATCCCCACCCTCGGGCCGATCGTCGCCGCGAGATAAGCCCCCGCCCCCCCCCGCCCCCCCCACCAGTGTCCTCTCGGTGCCATTGGAGCATGGAAGAGACAAAGCAGGAAGAGCCCCGCCAGCTCGGAGGCCCGCCGCGAAGATACCCAGCCACTGGTCCCGGGCTCAGGGGCAGGAACGCGGGGCCGCCCCCTCCCCCCCCCCGCGCTCTTTCTCAACTCCATCGCCGGTGGGATGAGTGGGGCGCGTCAGGCCAATCCCTGCTAGTTTGGTCGCGTGATCTGGATGATGTCAGGTGCAGCAGCGGTCAGGAGGATCCCTCGCGCGCACGGCCCGATCGTGCCCGCCGCCGGAGAGGAAGGCGGGGGATCTAGCCCCCCTGGGGTGCGGAGGGGCACGGGGGAGGTGGGGCATTTTGGTGTATTTTCCATATGCGCGGACGTGTTTGCGTGCACCAAGAGAGAGGGAGAGGGAGAAAGAGTGGCAAGGAGATGCACGCACAGGAGCAGCACAGGGATGGGCAGGGCCCCCCGCCCCGCCCCGCCCCGCCGGGGCCCGGCGGCTAGCGCGAACCGTAGGCGGTGGCCGGGGCCGCGCCCCAGCCGCCGTCGGACCCGGGGGCCGCGATGTAGCCGAGGTCCTGCAGGACGCGGGTCTGGGCCTCGTGCGGCATGCGGCTCAGGCGCTCGAGGGCCGCCTCGAAGGAGGCATTGCCACCGGTGGCACTGCGCAGGGCGGTCGAGTAGCCGACCATGGTCCGCAGGGGAACCGAGGCCACGACAATGGAGCTGGTGTCGCCGGCGCCCTCGCCCTCCTCCACCTGGGTGGTGTAGGTGTCGCTGGCCGGCCCGGCGCCGGCGGCCTCGGACGCGGCCAGGTCCTGGGCAGCCGAGCGGATGTCCACGATGCGGCCATCCCGACGCCCGGTCAGGTCGCTGACCACCACGCCGACCAGGTCGCCGGAGCCGCTGGGGCCGCTGCCAGCATGGGAGGCCGCCTGGCTGCCGACGGTGACGGCCATGCGCATGACCGGCTCCAGGAGGAACCCCGGCCGGGCACGAGCCAGGTGCGAGACACCCTCGAGGATGCACCCGCGAGCCGCGTGCACCAGCGCGTCGCCCGGCAGCAGGAAGGTCGGCTCGGCATTGGGGAAGTGCCGGGCCACCTGGGCCTCGTCCAGGGCGAACCAGGGCTGGTCGATGATGAGGTGCACATGGGCCAGGGGGAAGTGGGCCTTGGTGCCGAGATCGGAAGAGCGTCGTGCGAGCCAGGTGCGAGACACCCTCGAGGATGCACCCGCGAGCCGCGTGCACCAGCGCGTCGCCCGGCAGCAGGAAGGTCGGCTCGGCATTGGGGAAGTGCCGGGCCACCTGGGCCTCGTCCAGGGCGAACCAGGGCTGGTCGATGATGAGGTGCACATGGGCCAGGGGGAAGTGGGCCTTGGTGCCGGAGCTGTGCAGGGCCGAGGTGGCCGCCTCGGCCAGCAGGCGCTGGTAGCCATACGACCGGATGGTGCTCGGGCAGCGCTCCAGCTCCTCCAGGGACAGGGGGGCCACCGAAATGCGATTGGCCTCGCAGCGGGTGGGCATCATGCGCAGGCGGAAGCCCACACGCGCGCGCTGGCCATTGATTTCCCGGTCGAAGACGTGGTATCGGGCCGGCAGGGCCCCGTCGAAGTCCCCGAGCGGTGAGGGGTCGCGCAGAGGCGGCGCCGTGGCCGCCGGGTCGATCATGTCCCCGCTGCCGGGCACCCCGTCGGCCTCATGCGGCGGGAGGAGGTGCTCGTTGAAGAGGTCGAACTCGTCGTCACTGTCCTCCCCATCGAAGGCCTGGCCCGAGAGGATGGCCTCGGCCTTGGCCTCGGCTCCATCGACGAAGGGCAGGCGCATGACGCCGGGGCCGCCCTGGCCGAAGTCCAGGCCCTCGCGATAGGCGATCAACACCGGGCCGAAGGAGGCGCCGACTTGGTAGTCGCGCCGGAGGCGGTCTTCGGCCACCTCCAGGTGAAGCTCGCCCAGGCCACAAAGGAGCGTCTGTCCGGTCTCGGCGTCGTGGCGAACCGTCAGCGACGGGTCCTCCAGGACCATGGAGGCGAGGGCCTCGCTGAGGGCCCCCTCGTCGGCCAGCGACAGGGGCTCCACCGAGCGGAAGAAAACTGCCGGCGGGGGGCTGACTCCGGGGAGGACGAAGCTACGTGTGTGTGTGTGTGTGTGTGTGTGTGTGTGTGTGTGTGTGTGTGTGTGTGTGTGTGTGTGCGTGTGTGTGTGTGTGTGTGTTGGTGCGTGGATGCGTGGATGCGCGGATGCGTGGATGCGTGGATGCGTGGATGCGTGGATGCGTGGATGCGTGGATGCGTGGATGCGTGAGTAAGTGTGTGCGAGGGTGTGGATGGGCATGTGCGGATGGATGGATGCACATCCAGGAGAGAAAGAGAGAAAGAGAAGACAAAAATAGGACGGCGAAGCGGGAGGATGGGGGTCAGCCGTGTTGCAACAGGGGAAGGGGAGAGCCGTGCGGAGGGAACAGCACACGCTGGTGCATGGCAGCGCGCGCGGGCCGGCCCGCGCGCCAGGGACGTACCGCTCCTTCGAGGTGCCGGAGAGGATGGTGTCACCCGTGCGGGTGGCCTTCATGCCGACGATGACACCGATATCACCGGCGGAAATGGCGTCCACCTCTTCCACCTTGTCGGCATACACGCGCAGCAGCTTGGACGGGCGCTCGCGCACGCCGGACCGGCCGATGAGCAGCTGCTCTCGGGCTTCCAGCCGACCGGAGTACACGCGAACGTGAACCAACGGGCCGCGCTGGCGATCGACCACCACCTTGAAGGCCATGGCGCAGAGGGGCGCCTCCGGGTCGGAGGTGAAGGACCGCGTGGTGTCCACCACCGGGGCCGGGGGCTCGGCCGAGGCGGCCTCCGAGGCCGGGCCGGCGCCACGCTTGCCGGACTTCTTGCCGGCGCCAGCGGCCTTCTTGGCCTGCATGGCAGCCGCATAGGCGGCGGCAGCGCGCGCGCGCTTGGACATCACCTCGGTCGAGGGAGCCGCCTCCATCGCCTGGATCTCGGCCAAAACCGGCGGCCGCTCCAACGGCGAGGGGAGGTAATCCACCACGGCATCGAGGACCGGCTGGACGCCGCGATTTTGCAGGGCCGACCCCACCAGCACCGGGGTCACCCGATTGGCCAGGGTCAGCCGGCGGATGGCGGCGGCCAGGGCGGCCGGAGGCACCAGCCGCGCCTGGGCCTCCGGCGTCAGGTCCTCCTCGCTGTCGTACGAGAGCAGGAGCTCCAGCAGGGTGTCATCCAGCCCGGCGACGGTTTCCACCAGCTCGGCGCGCTGGGCCAGGGCCAGGGCGATGTCGGCCGGGGTCAGGACCCCGGCAGCAGCGGCCCCCGGCGGCAGGGGGCTCGCCTCGGGCCGGGACTGGCCGGTGTAATCCAGCAGCCCGGGGACCAGGGCATGAGCGGCCATGCTGTGGCCGAGCTTGTCCTGCCAGGCCTGGTACTCGAGGCGCACCAGGTCGATGAGAGCCCCATCAAAGCCGGGCCCGGTGGCGTCATCCCCCCCGATGAGGGTTTGCAGGAGCAGGGTCCGCGCGCCGAGGCGGCTGCGAGCCGACGCCAGAGACCGGTCGATGCTTGCCCCGACGCGATCGAGCTTGTTGATGAACATGATGCGGGCCACGCCCCGGCGGGAGGCCTGGCGCCAGACGGTCACGGTCTGGGCCTGGACGCCGGCCACCGCGTCCAGCACGGTGACCGCGCCGTCCAGGACCCGGACGCTGCGCTCCACCTCGAAGCCGAAGTCCACATGCCCCGGGGTGTCGATGAGGTTCACCTGCTGGTCGCGCCAGCCGAGCGTGGTGGCGGCCGCCTGGATGGTGATGCCGCGCTCCTGCTCGGCCGGCAGGAAGTCCATGGTGGCCGCGCCATCGTGCACCTCCCCCGGGCGTGCCAGCTGCCCGGTGTACAGGAGGACACGCTCGGTGAAGGTGGTCTTGCCGGCATCGATGTGGGCGATGATGCCGATGTTGCGCACCTTCTCCAGGGCCTGCTGGTGGGTGTGGTAGGCGGCGACAGCCGCGGCCCGGGGGGGCCCGGTGGCCAGGGGCCGGGGGAGCCCGGCGGTCAGGGCCCGGCCAGGGCCGGCGCGGGACCACAGGGCGCGTAGCATGGCTTGTGAGGCGAGGAAAGAGAAAGGCCGAGGAGGGAGCAGCAGGGGGGGGGG